ATACGCCTTGCTTTTCTGTCCCTGTCCTATCTCTGTGTGAACGTCCTTATCGCCCAAGTGGCTCCTTCCCTGCCAATCTTTCGCTAAGTTGAATGCTCCCTATCTCAAATGGGCACCTGTCACTTTTTGTCGTCAGAGAGATTTCTCAGTATGTTAGTCAAGCTAGTCTTTCACCGCCTGTAAAATGGTACCCATGCACAGTATGCTTCCTAAAAAGCTTGTCCAAGAATGTTATTGAGTCGATTGGGATACTAAAATACATGTATATTTAAAGTGCCATGACTTTGCGCTATACGGTGCCCATTATAATTTAAAACATGTTTATCTCATGTACAGAGAGGCAACGGCGGTGTGATATCGGTACATGGATCAGAAAGACTTCATTTGACAATAAACGTTACTTTAGATTGATCAAAAGTTCTTTGAAAGAGCTTGAAACATTGCTAAAATCACATTGTGGGTAAACTTAGCTTCAGTATTACGCATGAAATTATTACTAAATCACTTTCGAAGTTTGATCAGACTTCATTGTACTGTTTTTTGTGTGAATTGATATTTAGTAATAATTAACTTCTTAATTCTTTCAAGCGCACTCTCACCGCCCTCCTGACCCCCATCGCCCTCCTGACCCCCACCGCCCCTCCCCCTTTCAAATTTTGACTCTCACATCAAACTGAAAATGTTTCTACTGTAAACGTTTTTCGAGATAAGTGTGTTTAACCCATACTGCCCCAATATAACTAAGTATAGCAGTACCTGTGTTACAAGCAATGAAATCAAGCAGCAAAACAAACAATGGAGACTTGAATGTACTGTTCGTCCTTCTAATGTTTCTGAGCGTCTAACCTTCCTTTTTAAAATATAGGTATTTTTAAGCCCCAATCGACAAAATGATTTATATAATTTAGGAGGCAGGCTTTTGACCCTCCCTTCAAGGTCAACGTCAGCTAAAAGCGATACAACATCCCAGCAGAGAGACCGAGACACTCGGTACAATTTTTCTCCCCACTCGGGAATCGACTCTGGCTCCTGCGTACGGCAGCGAAGCGCCTAATACCGAATGCCAACTACGGATGGGTTTGGGGTTGGATCGGGTCGATCGCATGACTCGTCGCCTGAAAAAAAAACGCGTTTGTTTTTTAAGCGAGGAGTCGGGCGATCGGTTTGTGCCACGATAGCCGCCTTGCGCCTCAATCTGGCTAGCAAACCGACCCGACCCAACCCGATCGTGTTAATGGGCAGCCGGTATAACCGCTCCACTCCCAGACGCCGATGGACTCACTTGGGTGTATTCCCACTTGTCTTTCGCCCCTATGATGCAGTCCTCCAGTTTGGCCTCTCCCCCGTCGTACTGAACAGGCGCTATAACACACTGCAGTGTCGTGCGGAGCCGACCATCATGGGTGAGGGAGAAACCCTGGTAAGTGATTCAAGTGGATACCTCGTGAGTAAAGAATGTAATCAGATGTTGGCGAGAGTAAATGACAGAGGGAGAATCGTGTGAATGAATGAACGAAAGAACGAATGAACATAGAAAGACTATCGCAATCATTTAGTGCATGGGAAAAGAAAAGCTCATAGACATAAACGCCCGAATGAATGAATGAATGAATGAATGAATGAATGAATGAATGAATGAATGAATGAATGAATGAATGAATGAATGAATGAATGAAAGAATGAATGAGCGTGGCTCGAATCCCCAACCCAGGAGGACAGGGTATTCCTGAACTTACGCTGTTTGGAGAGTTTCATGTCTCTCCGTCTGCTTATCTCGGTTTTACAGGCGATAAAAGTCCTGTTTCGTGAATCGCCTTATACTAATTATAATATTCATAGCAGCTTCGAATTAGCATTATAGAATACAATATGGCTGGCAATGAGAGAGGGTGAGAGAGAGAGAGAGAGAGAGAGAG